TGTTCCAACTATGGATAGTGAAGTTCGTAAGCAATTCCAGCGCACCCTAGAGAAGCAAAAGATGAAATTCATGCTTAAGACTAAGGTTGTCTCTGTTGACAGCTCAGCAGAATCTGTCAAGTTGACCCTAGAACCAGCTGCCGGTGGGGAGCAGACCGTTCTTGAAGCTAATGTCGTTCTTGTCTCTGCTGGTAGAGTTCCATTTACTTCTGGGCTTCAGTTGGAAAAAATAGGGGTTGAAATGGACAAAACCGGCAGAATCTTGGTTAACGAACGGTTCGCCACTAAAGTCCCTGGAGTCTATGCTATCGGTGATGTCATTCCCGGCCCAATGCTGGCACACAAGGCAGAAGAAGATGGTGTTGCTTGCGTGGAGTTCATAGCAGGAAAAGAGGGCCACGTGGACTATGACATGGTCCCCGGTGTTGTTTACACTCACCCTGAGGTGGCATATGTGGGGAAAACAGAGGAACAAGTGAAGGCACTAGGAGTTGATTATCGTGTTGGGAAGTTCCCTTTTATGGCCAACAGTAGGGCGAAAGCAATAGACGACGCCGAGGGGATTGTCAAGATCATTGCTGAGAAGGAGACTGACAAGATATTGGGGGTCCACATCATGTCACCTAATGCAGGTGAGCTGATTCACGAGGCGGTTCTGGCTTTGCAGTACGGGGCATCAAGTGAGGACATTGCACGCACATGTCATGCCCACCCAACCATGAGCGAAGCTCTTAAAGAAGCTGCAATGGCCACTTATGATAAGCCCATTCACATTTAGATAAGTGATGTTTTATGTTCTTGGTTTGATGTCTTATGAGAGTTTTGAAATGACTTGCTGCACAGGTTTTTGTTTTTGGTTTCTATTTATGCCTCATCACCCAAGTAGATCAAGTGGCTAAACGGTATTTTACCACTTCGTTTGGGATTACAGTGCCTGATGTTGAAGGCTTCTTTGTTTACATTAAGTTATACCCCTATTCGATTCATACAAATAAATTAAACTATTACTGAGCAGGTTTGTGGGAAGTGTAGATGGTATTCCATTCTAATGACATGGTCATCATTTACGCTATAGTTCATTTCACTCCATTATCTTACATTATGCGGGTTATCCAAATTAATATCTAAAAATATATATTATACTTTAAGTACGATAGAATCAGCAAAATTGAATTTAAATTTGTCTAATACTTTAAACTATTACTGAACAGGTTTGCGGGATGTGTGTAGTAGTATTTGATACTGTGATAGTCAAAATCTTAGAAATTTAAAGAGCGGAGTTAAGTTAGAGTAATTCTAAATTTTGATGCAAGGATTCGAGTGAGATCACTTTCAATTCAACTTGGTAGGATAAAAGTGAGTTTTTCAATTTTATAAATATTTTCAGTTTGTTATAAATGGTACGTCGTACTTGACAGTGATGAGCTATTGAATTGCAACAAGTCTATCGCTATAAGAGTTATTGCATTATTTGTGTTAATAATTCATACATGTGATGCAATTTAGATAATCTTTCAACATTCCATAATAATAATGGATATAGGGTACATGTAAACAAAAAAGCACAAAACAAAACTCGTGTTTCTTCATCCTTACTCGTGAACATGAATTACCTATTTATATTTTTCTATTTCGGAAATGATTTATTGTGTACAAAAAGATTTTTCCATACATGATTTATTGTCAGAAGTTCAGAACATATTAGAGATGTCAAAATTTACTCATGTCTAGAGGGGTGGGCCGTGGGCGTCGGCAATTCAGTTTACGGTTCAATTTTCTTTGGTTTCGGTTTTGGTTTATTCAGTTTGGGAAAATTAGTACCAAATTAAAATCATTTGTGTTTCGGTTTGATTTTGTTTCATTTCGGTTTGAAGTTCGATTTACCAAAGTGAAAATTATTAGATTCAATTTAGTTCGATTTGATTCGGTTTCTTATGTTTATTATTTGAAAAAAATAATAAAAATACCCCAAACTTTGAAGGGGTGTGAGGTAAACACCCCAAACTTGCATATGTAATTTATATACCTCAAACTTTATATAAAAAATTATATTCGCACCCTTGTCATGTATTATTTCTTTCAAAAATGTAAATTTATGGGGTTAATTGCGTAATGTAAAATAACAAATTAAAAGTGTTGCAATTTTATAGACTTGGGGTAACATTATTTATTTCGCAATGAAAGTTTAGAATGTTAGTTGCGTTTTCATGAATTCTAAATATTTTAAATTATGCAAATAACACCATATATACATTTACATTTTTGAAAGAAATAATACTTGACTATAGTGCTAAAATAACTTCTTATATAAAGTATAGGGTATTTTTATTACATATACAAGTTGGGGTGTTCATCTCACGTACATCCCTTCAAAGTTTGAGGTATTTTAATTATTTTTCCCTTATTATTTCATTTTATCAACTTCTATATTTTAGAATTAGAAAATGAAAGTAATAGTTCATCTCATCTTCTTTTATTTATTGTTTAAATAAAATGTAAAAGGAAATAAAAGAAATAAAAAGAAATAATAAAATATTACTACATATAAATTAAAACTTCTAACATCTTTTCAATCACGTCACTCAGAAAAGATTTACTTCTCACAAAAAATAAACTTATAGTTGATTAACATTTCTAATATTACATAAAATATTCAAAGAAAATTAAATGAGTTAGTTGTGCAAATGTTGTAATATTCACAATTTTATTCAAATGAATCATGTACAAAATATAAATGTATTTTACTATTGTTATCGCCAAATGTCTTTTCATACAAGTAGAGTGTAAAACAAATACAAATATGTCGTACTCCGTATTAGCTAACTTTGTCATAATGAATGTATGAAATGTGTAAAAGTTAAAATGACATTTGCTAAATTTAATTTTTCATGTCTCAATTATTTATTTATATCCTAAAGATGAAAATTGAAGAAAAATACAAAATATTTATATACGATTGTATATATTACAAGCAATGTTCTAAAGGGCGCTAGGCGTTAGTCGGGTGCCAGCCCAGCGCCTAGCATCTAAGTGGCTAAGCGGGCGCCTATGCGGGGACTAATCGGAGACAAAAGTTATAGTGTTATCAATATTTTTGCATAAATATGATTAGTAACATTGTGTTTTGTGTGTGTATGAAAATACATATACACACATACACATTAACATGTATAGTTTTTATCGTAATCTACAACTACTTGCTTTCTTCATATGTGCTGTTGAAGTTAAAATTACACAATATCTTAGAGTACAACAATAAAAAGAGAAAAACAAATTGTTCTACGTATCTAGACGTCTAGGCGGCCGATTAAGCGCTCTGTGCGAGCAACTAGGCGCCCTAAGCGGCCAACTAATTTTTTCTAGGCGCCAAATCAATTAGTCAGAGCACATGGACTAAAATCTAGACACGCGGCCATCGTCTAGCGCGTAGGCGGGGACTAGTCGGAGGTGCAGAACTATTTTTAGAACAATGATTACAAGTTGTTCAGTGTTCGGTCCAATTTACGATTTTTCTCTTTTAAACCAAACCAAACCATTCGATTTGTACAAATTGCTACCAAACGGTTTACTTAAGTAAACTCAAACCAAATCGAACCACTAATTTCCGGTTCAATTTGGTCAAATCAAATCATTTTGCCCAACCTTAATGTCTACTGTCAAAAGATCGAATCATTTTGAAACAATACTTGAATTGATAATTAATTCATGCGTAGGTGAGATAAACAATACTCCGTATTTCGTAGTTTAAAGGAGACGAAAAAATTGTTGATTTAATATGGGGTGTTTGGATCTAGTTAATTCTTAAAACTGCTTCTGCTACTTGAGGGAGCAGAAACAGAAGTCGAAGTGTTTGAGTGAAAATGCAGAAGTAATTCTGGTACTCTAATTTACTCCTAGAATCATTTTTTTAGAAGCCGGGGGTACCAGCTTCTGAAAACTGATTCTGATTCTGCTTCTGCTTTAAAAAAAGAAGCAGAAGCGGCAGAATCAGTTCCAAACACCCCTATATACTACATCCTATCGTATGTAATATTTTATAAATTTCACGTAAGTATTAAGTAAGAGAATATTACCTGAAATAGGACAAAAACAGTTTGAAAATTCCAAAATAGGACTAGTCATTTTTTTATTCCTAAAATAGGACTAATTACTGCCATGTTTTGGCAGTACCAGACTTCAAACATGGCAGTATTTTCTAAACATGACAATAATTAGTTCTAGTTTGAGAATAAAAAACATGACAGTCCTATTTTGGAATTTTCAAACTGTTTTAGTCCTATTTCGGGAACTTTCCGATTAAGTAAATAGCTACATAAGATTCACCTAAAGAAGTGTTTGGGTTCAGATTTATTGATCCTATGTTAATTTTGTATGTGACAGTCATCCATTAAGTAAATAAAATTATATTCAGAGCATATGAAATCCATACGTACTAATTAACAATAAAACTATTTATATTTTGTTTCTAAGACGAAAATTTTCTCTTAAGAAGGAAATTTTAATTTATATTCTTTCACTTTGTAGTACGGAGTATATCATAAAAGATTGACTTTACTCTCAAAATTTTTTGTCACTTTCCTATTAAAGCAACTAATTTGTGGTTCTACACATTTCTCTCTCCTTTGCACAAATCTCAATCACACACTGTTTTTACTATTCTTATTTCTCACATACTTTGCACTTGACAAAGTTCATCGGGACGAAGGTAATATTTGACACCACTATGAGTAGATACTATAATAGGTTTAGAAGATTATTCCAAAAAAAAAAAATACTCCGTATATTTGACACCACAAGCCAACATGTAGCTGTCCCTCTCTTCGATCAATTAAGAAAAATATTTCGCAAATGGAAACATATTATTTTAATATGATAAATAAATAGTTTTTCATCATATGCACTAATGCAAGCCGTGTACATTTTATAAAGTCTATTATTATATCTCAAAAGGAACATGAGATGATTATTAGGAACATTATGAAAAGGAAATATGTACATATATATACTTAGGGATGATATCATCCGAGGGAATAGCATACTAATTAATTATTTTGGCGTAAAGTAAGGACATCATCAATAATCATAGAGACCAATCATTATGATTATGAATATATATGGTATCTAATTGATTTGATTTGAGAAACGGGTAAACTGACCTAAATATATTAACAAAGAATTAAGTACCCATTAATTGGAAGATTACAGGTTGATCCCATTTTTGCAGCTATAAATAGAATATAAACTAGCTACTAAAAATCAAGAACCAGCAAAAGATGGCATCTTTTTCTCACAATCTCTCAATCTTCTTTTCTTTCTTTGTAGCTCTAATCTCCATCACAAACGTAAATGGAGATTTAATAGACACTGTTTGTGCTAAGACTCTTCTTCCTCCTTTGTGCCAGAAAACCCTAAGATCAGACCCTCGTTCCAAGACAGCTGACCTTAAAGGGTTAGGGTTCATCTCCATTGATATCACCACAAAGCAGGCTAATTCAGGAAAGGCCCTCGTCCAGTCCCTTCTGAACGGGGCCGTTGACCAGAAAGTAAAGTCAGCGCTGTCTTCTTGCTTGGAGAACTATGGGGACTCCATTGATACTCTTGGGGAGTGCTCAGATGCTTTGAAGTCTGGAGATTATGGAGGTTTAAATATCAAAGCTTCTTCTGCATTGGATAGTTTTGGGACTTGTGATGATGGGTTTTCTGATTTCTCTAAGCCTGAGCCTCCTCAACTGAAAGATGCCAGTTCTAATTTGCAAGGAATTTGCGATGTTATTTTGGTTATTAGCAATCTTTTGAAGGGGTAAAGAGAAATTATTTAATTAATAGTGATTACTTTGCTTTCCGATATATTATGTCAAGTTTTAGGAAGTGGGTGTAGTTTGAGAAGGCAATAACGTTTTAGTGATGTCCCAATCAATAAATTTTGCATGCATGTGAGATTATTGCCATTATTATAATGAATTAATGGGAAGTATTAGAGAGATTTGCAATTTTCATTATTAGTCATTAGTCATGTATCCTTAGTCACTTGCAAATTTGATCCTGTGATTAATATGTACGGAGTATTTGCGATTTAAGGACATTTTTCTGGAAAATCACACTTTATGGCAAAAATATGTCGGAAAAGATACCGCTGGCATTAAATTTTCTGCCGAAAAGTATATTTTTCTGGGAAAGTATTCTCAAATCGCAAAAATTACGGTACTAAAATTGCAAATATACCCGTAATATTAATGGTGACAACTCCGGTACCTTTCTAAAAAATGAGGTACCGTACCTATCATTCATTTCATTGGACCACATCACTTTTTCATTTTTAATTTAGATTTAGATAATTCAACTGCTACATTCACATTGGTTCACGTGGACAAAGGTATGGTACTTACCATACAATCTACCGATATTAATACGTAATTTATGATTCCATTATACATTATATTGTCCTTATCATATAAGGAGTACGAAGTACTTGGTATAAACTTTCGTTTGTAACAATCAATTCGCTTTCCTTTTAAAAAAACATTCAATTCGCTTACATTAAAAAAATTGAGACGCGAAGAACTTCGTAACAAAACAATATCATAAATTGAGAATCTACACATTAAACTTTTATTGCTGTATGAAAATGATCTTAGTTAGAGATACTCTCACAAAATCATAATACAGATTACAATTATAACTAGAATAGTAAAATATACTACATCCGCCCCAATTAAAAAGGTTATGACATGCCTATTTTGGACATGTTTTAAATTAGCGATGTCTTTCAATTAATATATTTGACCACAAAATAAATATACACATTTCTATCATAAAATCGAAAATGATCTTACGTACATGAAAGTGATGAGTAGAGCCATCAAAATGCGAAACCCGCGGGCTGGCCCATTTAAATCCATTTATTGGTGGGTTAGAGTTGTGAATTTCTGACCCATTTAATTCGCGGGTTTCCGGGTCAACCCATGCGGGTTGGCCTAACGAGTTGCGGGTTGGCCCGCGGGCCAATATACAAACATAGAGTTTTGACTTTTATTATCTTCAATATTGTTCTTTTACTACCAAAAATATTATAATTACAATTAAAAAAAATTACAACCATTGCAAAATAATTATTTCTATAATAAATATTCAAATAAACTTAATAAGTATTGAGTTCTTAGTATTTTGATTTCTTATACTTCCCTTAATTTATTACTACTTACTAATATGAATATATACTCCAAGGTAATTATTCTTAAAAAATCTTTTGTCATATATTTTTCACATTGGTCCGTGGGCCAACCCATTTAACCCACGAGTTAGATGGGTTGGGTTAGTGTTGCAGAAATTCTAGCCCATCAGTAAACGGGTTGGTCTGACCCAACCCACATCAAGCATAACCCGTCACGGGTCAGTCGGGTTGGGTCGAGTTAAGCGTTTGATAGCTGTAGTGATGAGCTATTGAAATGCGTTGAACTCATACTCCGTATGTGATAGTGATACGATTTAGATCATCTTTCAATTTGGTCCAAAAGGTTGAATGCCCAACCCCAAGGCCCCTCCACCCCGACCCGACATGATGGTGGGGAGGTTAATCACGGTGACTCAGTCAACAAAGCGGCGGTAGGCCTTATACACGTGCGCACTAGAGCTCCAGCCTTATTTCAGGTTCTGTAATCTCCACACGACCGCTGCGGGTTTCGAACCTTGGTTACTTGGTCCAATTTTTCCACCACTCGACCAACTGAGCTACCCTTGCGGGTTTTAGATCATCTTTCAACACTCCATAAATGGATGTCATAGATAAATCAACACAAACTAGTGTTTCTTCGTCGGGATGTTTTTACTTGGACCGGATTAACTGGTTTGGTCTGGTCTGGTATTCTCTGATCTCTTTTCTAGTCTAGACTGGTCTGAATTGGTCTGACCTGATCTGATCTGATTTGAGAATGAGAACAATCCAAGTAAAAACATCATCACTCATGGAAGTGACGACAAATCCCTATTTATACTTTTTTTCTTAGCAATAATTTATTGTGTACTATTTTTCCCCTAAATATAATTGCGTCCATTAGCGGAGTTTGAAAGTAGATATATTACGATGTTTTTACTTGGACTGATTTTTTATGGTGTAGTATGGTATGGTTTTAATTGGTCAAGTGTGGTCTGATAAATGTTTGGTTTCTGTGTTTTTTATAAATATTCAAGTTTGGTCTAATTTGGTCTGATCTAAGACTGAAACGGTCAACTTATTTAGACTTTTGAGACAATATTGGAGTTGATAATTTATATGTAGGTGGAATAAACGTTAATTTAAATGAGATTTAGATAATTTTTTATTTTATATATACATAATATATTAAACACTTCATGTTGCTAATAGTTACGTCACATTGACCTAGCTAGAGAAGTGTTTGGGACTTTGGGTTCAGTTTTTTTAGAATGTTTTTACTTGGAATGAATTTTTTTGGTCTGATCTGGTTTGGTCTGATAAATGTCAGGTCTCTGTGTATTTTATAAATGTCCAAGTCTGGTATGGTTTGGTCTGATCTGGTTTGATCTGAGACTAAAAACAATCCAAGTAAATAAAAATATATTCAGAACCTATATGAGATCCACACGTACAAACAATAAAACTATTTATTGTTTCGCTTCTATTTTCTTTTAAGAAGCAATTTTAAATTTTTGTTGTTTGATTTTTTAATTCGAAAGTTTTTTAAAATTTTCAATCAGGAATGGAAAAGTTTGCTGAATAAGTAAACTTTATAAGGATGTTTTTACTTGGATCGAAATTTGTTGGTCTGGTCTAGTATGATTTGTTTAAGCCTGGTCTGGTATGGTCGGTCTGAACTGGTCTTATGTGGTCTGGTAAATGTCTGGTCTGTGTATTTTATAACTATGAAAGTCTAGTCTGGTCTGGTTTGAACTCATGTGTGTGTCTAAGTCTTATGTGGTCTAGTTTGAGACCGAAAACAATTCAAGTAAACACATTCTAAATTGGCCTCGTTTATACATATTTTTGGGAGCACATTTAAAACAACTTAAATTGTTTTGCAAAGTCAACATATTGATAATTAAATCAATGTTAATTAATTAAAATTTACATATTCATAAACTACGTACATTAAAATCTCTATAAAGTTAAATGCAAAATCTAAATTGAAATTTAATATAATTAAGAATTAATATTCTAATTGAGTGGATAAAATGAAACTGTTTGCCCCCAAAAAATCAAATTTGCAACTCAACTTGAGACAGAATGAGTATAGATATTTTCACTTTTCAGTGGTGTCAATTCATTTAGCTCTAGAAATAATTATTTTAAGATGATAAATACTTCTTCAGTTTCTTTTTAATTGCAACAGTTAACATTTCACGGTTGCCAACACACAAGTTTGACCATTAATATCTTTCATTCCTTATTAGTAAAAAAATTATAAAATTCATATTTTGAAAATTTTAGAATGAGAAGAATTTAACAATATTTTAAAAAAATTTAATTTACAATACATTAATTAATAAAATATAATCAAAAATAGAATATGTGAATAGTGAACCAAGCATTCTAGTCCAGCTGATTGTGAGGTTACCGTGCCTAGTGGGAGGTCTCGAGTTCGAAACCCGCTAGGCACATAAGAGTTTGAAACTCAATAGAGTGAATTTCAGCCCTGATTACTCCAGGTCAATCCCTCAGACCCCGTAAAAAAAGAACATGTAAATAGTGTAAAATGTCCAATGTTGCAATTAAAAGAGTTGTGTGCAAGGTTGGAAAAGTCAAAAGTATGAGATTTTGGTGTTGTAATAGTTGTGTACGTAAACTTTACCATTGAAAATGAACAGTTATTTAGGTAAATTAGGAAACATGCACGCACATATATTTCGTTTATACTTAGCCCGGCCCTCAGGGATGATATGAATATATGATCCAGCCAGGGCATGAGCCAGACTGGACCCATACAAAGAATATTATTGAAAAAAAAGAATATTATTGAAATTTTTTACACTAAAAATATTGGCATTTTTTAAATTGAAAATTGCCCAATATAGGAGTAAACATAAACATAATTGCATAAATAGGAGTAAAACTTAAAACTTCCTTCAATAGGAGTAAACATTAATTTTGTACCCTTAATATCCCTAACCTAGTTAATTCTAAAATATGACTTATTTAATCTTAATCTAGTTAATTTATGACTTATTCGATAATAATAATTTAATTATTTATTTATTTTTCAAAAAATAAAAAAATATTAAATTTTTTTAAAAAAAATAAAAAACTCAAAAAAATAAAATAAAATTCACCGCCGCCTCTGCCGCCTTTGCACCACCACCTCCAGTCACCAGGGGAAAAATGCCAAGTTCATTACGAATGCCATATTTATGGCAGAAAATAATGAAAATGTTGGCATTCGCAAAGAGAAATATGCCATGTTTTTGGCATTTTCAGAAAAAATGGCAGTTTTTAGGAAAAATGGAATTTGTTTTCACCTCCCGGAGGTGGTGGTGCAAGAAGGTTATACAGACAGTGGGAAAGACATCCATATTTTTTTTAATTTTTTAATGGAGTTTTACTATTTTTTATTAATTTTTTAAAAAACTAAAATTTTTATTTTTTTTTAATTTTTTTAATTTTATTAATGTTTTATAAATTTTTTAATTATTTTTCTACGAATTGTTGATTTTTTCCCGAATTTATTATGAATTAAACATTTAATTAAAAGTACTTGGGGCTTAGGGTTTGGGTAGAGGTATACTTGTCCAAACACTAAAGTTACTCCTATTCAAAACATGATACTCCTATTTTTGCATTTTGCCTATGTTTTGTTCCTATTTGGGGAATTCTCTCTTTTTAAATTTGGGGTGGGCCAGGGCCTAGCCTGGGCACCCTAGCTCCGCCCCTGGAGGGAGTAGTGTACTATTTTTTTTGGCGTAAAATAAGGACATCAGCAATTAACATAGAGACCAATAATTATTGTGATTATGATGATAATAATAATAATAATCATAAGAGCATCTCCATTCATGATCTATAATAAGCAATTTTTTCTATGATTCTTACCAGTTAAATATTGTTATGTAATTAATTATAAAATAATCTCAAAATTCGTTTATGTCTCTTAATCATCATCTTTAAATAATCTGTTTTTTCTCTGTCCTGCATTAATCTCTATTACATATACTTTTCAAATAATATTAAAATAATTCGGATTCATATTTTGATCCCAGATTATTGTAGCAAATAATCCCATTAAATAATCTATGACACTCAATGATAATTCTCTAAAAAAACTGTCATGTCACCAATTTAATCTCATAATAATCCTCCCAATGAGGATGCCCTAATAACTTGATTTTAGAATGTGAATGTGCAATTTAGTTATGTAACGCTAGAAAAAAATCCGGTTTAATTAGAAACCGTTTAAGAAAGAATTGAGTACGCATTCATTGGAAGATTATAGCTGAATTGGTTCCATTTTTGCAGCTATAAAATAGAATATAAACTACCTACAAAAAACAAAGAAGCATCAAAATATGGCATCTTCTTCTCACAAACTCTCAATCCTCTTTTCTTTCTTAATAGCTCTCGTCTCCCTCACGACCGTTAAGGGAGATCTCATAGACACAGTCTGCGCCAAGACTCTTCGTCCCGCTTCCTGCCAGCAAACCCTAAGATCCGACCCCCGATCCAAGACAGCCGACCTTAAAGGGCTAGGCCTCATCTCCACTGACATTGCCACAAAGCAGGCCATTTCAGGAAAGGCCCTGGCCCAGGGCCTTGTGAATGTGAGCTTTGACCAGAGAGTGAAGTCAGCGATCTCTTATTGCTTGGAAAAGTATGATGAGTCCGTTTTTCATTTGGGGCAGTGCTCGGAATCGTTGAGGTCTGGGGTTTATGGAGGATTGAACTTCGAAGCTTCTTCTGCGGGGAATAGTATCGAGGCTTGCGAGGATGGGTTTGCTGATTTGCCTAGGCCTGAGCCTCGTCAACTCCAAGCTGCTAATTCTAATTTGCAAGGAGTTTGCGATATTGTTTTGGTTATTAGTAATCTTCTTCTGAAGGCCTAGAGAGGGTGTAGTTTAAGGAGGCAATATATACATAGTATATATACTTCCTCCTTTTTTACAACTTGCAACATTGAGATTTTTGCACTTTTACAACTTGCAACATTGAGAATTTTGCACTATTGACATACGTTAATTTGACTATGATATTCTGAGTTTTTTTCCGGATTAATGTTAATTAATTAATTAATTACGGAATTAATATCGAGTTAAAACTATTTACAAATATACTGCTGGGCTTAACTCTGGTCGGGGAAAGTCGTCAAACCATTACGTGACTTATAAGTCGGCAAATGGTTGGGCGACTCTCTTATTCTTGTTGAGATGCGTAGAAGGGTGAAGGGAAGCTGGGAAAGTAAGAATAGGTGGAGCCAATTAAGAATAAATCCTCTATTTTCTTTAAATGGGTATAACTTTCATATTTTTCTTCCAATTTTTTTAAAACATATACCAAATTTTGTAACTTTTTATGATCTTTCATATGACACCAATATGTAATATATAAAGTTTTAAAAAAATATAAAGACCATATGGAGTGAAAAACTAATTGCAATTATGCACCGTCAATAAACTTAATTCTCAACCAGTTTAAACCAAAATTATGTATTCACCCTTTCAATTCAATTTTTTAATATATTTACCCCATATAGTTTTTAGTTAAATTCTTACACTTTTTAATCTACATCAACTTTTAAGCAAATAAAATTTACGAAAATATGAGGATTCATTCAACCATTTGGCGACTTTCCCCGACTAGGGTTAAGCCCAGCAGTATATTGGTAAATAGTTTTAACCTGACATTAATTCCGTAATTAATTAATTAATTAACATTAATCCGGAAAAAAACTGATATTCTAGTAATATACTTCACATATAATCAAATTATATTGTATAAAATGTTATTAAATATCAAATTTCTACTAACGTAAATTTTCAAAATATTAAAATTTTATAATGTTTACTACATAGTAATATATTATTAAATATAATTATAGTTAAAGTTGTGCGTTGACAAACGTGAAAGTCAGACTGTTGCAACTTTTAAAGAGTGGAGAATAACATAATTCTGCATGCTTTCGGTTGTTAGTAATTAGATCAATATACGTATTAGTAGAACTGAAACTTTATTACCACAATATTATATTGATTTGAGATTATTGCTATTATTATAATTATAATTAAATGAAATATTGCTATTATTATACTACTACGTAACGTACAAATTAATACGAAGTACATAATTCCATCGTCTATATTATAAACTTTTGTTTGTAACATTCATTTACATTCAAATAGTTGAGATATGAAGTACATGGTAACATTGTAACCATATCTACAAACTTTATTGCTGTGTGAAAATGTTCTTAACTAGAAATACTCTTGCAACATAAAGATCATAATTATAACTAAAATATATAATTATCCCTCCATCTTCGGCCCATACATTTGAAGTTTCCAATTCCAGTCCAAACCCATAATATTTAGATCCGGACTGGTTAGACTGTAATTAATTAATTATTATTACGTATTTCGTATAATTTTGAAAAATAAGAATCTTTGGAGACCTTTGTTTTTGACTTAAAAGCTTTAATTATCAGTTAACTTTTTTCATCAAACATGTACGTTTTTATTTTGCCATTAATTGTGTAATAATAAAAATAAGTAATGTTAGAGTTACTTTTCTGATTGAATTAATTTAAATTAACGTAGATGACGATTTTAACTACTTTTCCATATTCCTTTTTCTTTACATCATTAATAAAAAATATTTTAAATATAATTTTTTCATAATTTAACAGATTCAACCAATTCATTTTGCTGTCAAAACTTCATCAATTTAAGCAGATTCAATGAATTTTAATATTACTAAACAGGCTCTAAACAAAAAAAAAGTTCCAAAATAATTAAAATTTTAATGTTATTAGACAACGAGTGTGATTTTGTTCACCTCTTTTAACAAGGGTGAACATCACCCCCTTCTCTCCCTTGATGCAAGGCGACATCACATATTATTTTTTTCTTTAAATTGATATATCTTTTTTATTTATTGTCGAATTAAAAAAAAAACAAATCAAATTTAAAAAGTTTTATGATCTTTCCTATGTTATCAATATTGTATATACGAAACTGAAAAAAATATTTCATTCTAATTATTTGTTTTCAGCTATATTTTTTTATTTGTCATATGCAATATAGTATGATATGAAAGGGTTTCGAAACCCACTAGGCTCAGCTGGTTGTGAGGTTATCATGCTTTGTGGGAGGTCTCGGGTTCGAAACCCACTAGGCACATAAGAGTTTGAAACTCAATGAAGTGAGTTTCAGCCCTGATTACTGCAGGTCCTCCAACCCCCCTCTCCCAGACCCCCTGGAGTAAAAAAAAGATCGTAAAAAATAAAAAAGAAATGATATGTTTTCTAAAAAATGGATAAAATATGAAATAGTTAAAACAATTATGAAATATTAAAGAGTTGGCCTGCCACATCACATGTAACTATGCATGAGGTGAACATCACCCTTAACAAAATTGATTTCGATTTCGATCTCGATCAACTTAGAGCATCTTCAAATGCTAAAACGTTAACAGTGCATATGTGGCATGAGAAATAACCAATTAAAAAAAATAAATAGAATATCTCTCTCCTTATTTAAAGGATATTACATCATTTTGGTAAATTTTTCTTCACAATGTCAAGCACAATGTCTAGATGTAGACAATGTGGTTGACATTGCAGAGAAAAACTTACAAAAAACACATAAGACTGTGGAAAGAAGGAGAGAGAAATGTTATAAAATCAATATTTTGTGTCTATCTCTCTCATGTCACATGTGCATTGTGCACATTATAACATTGGAGATGCTCTTATTAGATAGGTCCTACATAAGTGATTGATGAACACCATGAGCTTTCAAAGAAGAAACAAACTCTCAATCAAAGAGATTAGACAAAATAGTGACTAAGAACATCCCATATATCATATTTCATGTGTCCCAAATTGAATTTCAAATTTGACTTTTTGGGATCAAATTGACTCGTTTTGATCACTTAATTAGGATATCAAATCTTGAATAAATTTGAATTTGGATTTTGCAATTTTATAGAGATTTTAATGTAGTTTGTCAATTTGTAAATCTTAATTATCAAAATTGATACTACCTCTGTCCCGGTCATTTCTTCCGATTTTGACTTGGCTCGCAAATTCAGATAGTGAGAATAAGGTAGAAATGTATGGTTGTAGTTGTGTAAGAAAAAGTGAATGAATGTGAATCACATATTTTTTCCAAAAGTGGGAGTTGGAATAATTAATTGGGACGGTCCAAAAAGGAAAGTCGGAAGAAATGACAGGGACGGAGGGAGTATAATTATCAATAAGAATGATTTAACTTTAACATTGATTGACCAAAAAAATGTTGACTTTGCAAAACAATTTGGGATTAAGGTACGTAGTTATCAATGAACAATGAAGTTCTTCCTTCGTCCCAAAAAGATTAGTCAAATTGACTTTTCTTGATCAATGGTGGTCAAGTTTGACCAATGATATTTTTAATATGAAATTACTTAAAATATGAAAATTATATGAGCATATTCTTTATTAAAAGTATTTCATAAAAGTATAAAATGTATAACCTACCCACAAATATAATTCCTAAAATTATTGTCTTAACTTTAACACCATTAAGAAAATGTCAAATTGACTGATCTTTTTAGGATGGAGTAATAGCTAATATTAGTAACAATCGAAAATTGTAGGATTAAGGATGTTTTTACTTGGACTGAAATTTACTGGTCTAGTTTGATATAGTCTGGTTCGGTCTGGTCTGGTAAATATCTGGTCTCTATGTATTTTATATTATCCAAGTCTGGTCGAGTCTGTTCTAGTATGAACTGGTCTGGGCTGCTTTGGTCTAGTCTGGTCTGGTCTGGTAAATGCATGATCTCTGTGTATTTTATAACTATCCAAATTTGGAATGGTCTGTCTGGTCTGGTATGTCTGAACTGGTCTAGTCTAGTGTAACACTTGAGATTTAATTTAAATGGATTAATAGTACTACTCATACCAACAAGGTGCATCTCCTTTTAAAGGAGCTCATTAGCCAAGAACTCCAAAGTTAAGCATGCTTGCATGGGAGTAGTCTTGGGATGAGTGATCCCCTGAGAAGTTTCTCGGGGCCTGCGGGGTCGGAGTGTTTTAGGTGCTATCAGAGCAACCCTACGACAGTGTACTGATCCGTTGGATATCCGACGGACACTTAGCAGGGGAAAAGATTCTGGGATATGATTGAGATTGGTTTATGGGCGCAACGAGGATGTTGCGTTCCTAAGTGGGGGTGATTATAAGTTTATAACACTTGAGATTTAATTTAAATGGATTAATAGTACTACTCATACCAACAAGGTGCATCTCCTTTTAAGGGAGCTCATTAGCCAAGAACTCCAAAGTGCACGAGTGAGGGGACAAAGTGCGCGGAAAAGGCTAGTGACGGTTTGTGAGGACAGTACTAGAGGTCAGAAGTAACTACCTCGGGGCCTGCAGGATCGGAGTGTTACATCTGGTCTGATCTCATCTGGTTTGATCTGAATTGATCAGGGCTGACATGATCAGATCTGATCTTTTCTGGGACTGAAAACAGTCCAAATAAATTGAGAGTCCAGTGAAAATGTTTTTAATTCAATAAGTTTTAGTCTCATATTATATTAGACCAAACTTAAACAAATCATATCATACTTAAATAAATAAGGAGATTCTATAAGTTTCCAATTAGAATTATACACCAGATGACCAGACTAATGAAACTGATCAAATAAATTAGAGATTATTGTGGAAGAATAAATTAGAGATTAGAGCATCGATCAGAATATTTAAATCTAATTAAAAAACATCCTAAAAACGCTAAAAACGTATACCACCCACATTGTTATCATTTACTATAATTAATGAATGCATCCAATTTTGCATATCACGAAAATATTCAAACATAAAAAACGTGCAAGCATATATATATGGAAAGAATTAAATGCCCATTAACTAGTAAGATCAAAACATGATCACATTTTTACACTTACAAAGAACTACTTCGTATAATATATATAAAAACCCACGAGTGTTCATTTCATTAACAAGTGAAAAACAAACACATGCAGCAAAAGATGGCAGCTTCTAACTATCACAAACTCCCAATCTTGTTTGCTTTCTTGGTAGCTCTCATCACCAGAAACGTGAATGCAGATCTGATAGACACTGTTTGTGCTAAAACACAGCATCCTCCCATCTGTCAGAAAGCCTTAAGATCAGACCCTCGTTCCAAGAACGCCGACCTTAAGGGATTAGGGTTCATCTCCATTGATATCACAACAGATAAAGCCAAATCTGGGAAGACCCTCGTTCAGTCCCTTATGGGAAAGTCCACTGACCCGAAGGAGAAGTCGGCGCTGTCTTCTTGCTTGGAAAACTATGGGGACTCCATTGATACGCTCGGGGAGTGCCCGGATTTGCTGAAGTCTGGAGATTATAACGGAGTGAATGTGAAAGCTTCTTCTGCTCTGGATGATATTGGGACTTGTGATGATGGGTTTGAGGATCTTGGTAAGCCTGAGCCTGCTCAGCTCAAAGATGCCAGCTTTAATGCGCAAGCCGTCTGCGAAATCATTTTGGTTATTAGCAATCTTTTGTAGGGAGCTGGGAATGTATGGATGTTATGGATTATGATGTTAATCTAAATCACTAGATGAGAATGTAATTTCAGCAAGAATGCAATTTTAGCTACATACATTGCTCTTATTGTTGGTTGAAGAATTATTTATAAACACGATACCTCCATTCAAGTACATAGTACTACCTTCTTCCCAAATTGATTTACAAATTTGACTTTTCTGGGTTAAACAGTTTCATTTTATTGGCTTAATTAGGATGTCAATTCGTAATTATATTCTAATTCGGGGTTTGCAACTTTGAAGGGATTTTAATATAGTTTTTGAATATGTAAATTTTAATCATTAAAAATTGAATTAATCATCCCAAAAAAAATTGAATTAATTATCGATACGGAGCATTGACTTTTATTATTGGTTGACAAAAAATGTTAATTTTGCAAAACAATTTGGTACGGAGGGAGTATTAAATTTATTAAAGAATGTCCCAATACTTTCTTGATCAAGTGAACAATAACATTTTAGTATTTTACATTATTTTAACTCATATTCAAGTGAATTTCATTATCTAAAAGTGAAATATCCAATAAATATAATCAAGTGTAATACTAAATTTATTTCGATTTAATTAGGACAATTAATTTCTTTTAAGTGAATAATCTAATAAGTTTAGTCAAATGATATGCTCGTTTTAATGTGTAGCTCTACATCTTGACAACTGAGGATTTTTAATAGAAATAATGACATTTTTTTTGTTATAGAGTTTCCACTATTAATCACTGCTACCTCCGTTCCTATTAAAACTTCCAAATAGGTTTGGCACAGAGTTTAAGATAGTGGGTATTGTGTGGTGGAGAGTTGTGCAGAGGAGAGAGAAATGTGTAAGAAATGTTGTGAACCACAAATTTTTTAGTAAAAAGGGAAAATGGAAGTTTTAATTGGAACGGATGAAAAAGGAAAGTTGGAAGTTTATTTAGGAACGGAGGGAGTACAAGAATTTGCATTTTTGGCAGAAAATCTTTCAATCATTCATGTCCTCTGACATGATTACTTGTGAATGTGTGATAGACTTCCGCCTCAATGTACGTACTCCGTCATGTATAGAAAACACGAATTGTCGCCGAGTAGTTTCAATTATGGATTTGGAATTCATTAAGGGGTTGATCATGATGTATGACCAGTTTCTTGATGTATTAATTGCATGATTTTTATTTAATTTGTGTTTGAATAATTTAATTGATATCTTTTGTAACCTGGAACAAACGCTAGTATTATAATTGCACATAGAATAAATTAAGAGAGATCTAATTTATTCTTGGACACCTTCACACACACTTAATCGTTTGCTAAGAGATTAATAACGGTTAAGGGGGCGTAAGCTTGCTTGTTTTGGAAATAATTTAGATACTTGTCGCAAGAGATCAGTCTGGTTCCCTAAATTATTGTACTCACGCCGCGAGAGCGGTTAGAATTTAGTATTGATTAGCGTTGCTCAATTAATTAATTTTCTTGTGATTAAGCCTAGTCAGCAAGAAATATGATTACCCCGGAATTAATCCCTGTTCTCTTTAGCCATTAATTAGAAAGAACCAAACTTTTTATTCGTTCAATTGCATTTTTTATTTTCCAACCAATCAAATCTCGCACGATTTCCTTTAATTTATTTCTTTTTATCGCTGAATTTTGTTAATACTTAATTTCTTTTTGTATGTCCGTGTGGAGACAATACTCATACTTGCATCCTATTCTACTACGTATTTTAAGTGCGAGAAACTCATATCAGTTTTAGGCGCCGTTGCTGAGGACGGTGTCGGTTTTAATGGTTAATTTAGTTCAGCGACATGCATTTAGTTTTTCGTAGGATTGTGTCTTCTAACCTTGCAGGTTAGATTGGTTTATGCATACACACTTTAAGAGGGAACCATTATCCCTCTTAATCTCGAGATAAAAAAGCTCATCAGAAAGAATCGCAAGGCTCTACGAGAGTAAAAGATAGCCATGGACCAGTCCTCATCTAATCTGGAACCGTCGGGACATCTGGAGTCCCTAACACCACCTTCCAGCTCGATTTCTATATCAACACTTCACCGCAATCTACCCCACCAATTTCTCCTAGGAACCGCCCACCAGGTTTCCAAAATTACCGTCCTCCACCCGTATCCCCCCAAAATCGATCTACACCGCAACTCAACCTTACTCAATAAAGAAACAAGTCATCGGTTTCCAGTTATGCTGCGTCATAGCTTGATTTCATTGGACCTGCCGATCAGTCTCGACTATCTCAAAACCAGTGATATTTATTCCAATCTTGCACTTAATAATTTGATAAAAATCATGCACTACTCTTTCCTCATGTGACAGTGGTTCTCGAGGATGGCGGATCAACGATGTCATCATGGAAGCATTTTTGGATTTAAGAAAAACATACCTAAAACTTGATGAATAACATCAATAACAATTGAACAATAGCATAACTCTATGGTAGCACGTGCATCATTTATTTGAGAAGAAGTCACCCATAGAATGACTGCCATAATTGACAGAAGAAGAACCCTAAAAATTTTGGGGAATAAAACACCACTCATAAGAATGGACATGATCATTATTCTACCAACTCAAGACTATATATGATAGTAAGTAATTTTATATGAGTCGAGATTTAAGATTATTTAGTAATCGCTGCACATAAGTAAACGAACTATATTTATAATAATTAAAATTTATTTATTCAGAAAGTAGACTATGGGAAAAATAAAACCAAAGGATAAAAAGAAACAAGAGAAAGGAGAGAGAGTCAAGTGATGATATAAAAAAAGGAATATGAAGAAAATGTAGACAAACAAGGTTGCAGAGGAAGAGGAGAAAAGAAAAAGAAAAAGAAAAAAATATGAAGGCCAATTAACATTAGCCTTATGGCCGGGTGACTTGCTAAAGTTTTCTATCAAGGCATACTAAACAAGAGTAGGGTGAGAATATTAGTTCAATTCGTAGAATTTAAAACTCTTTAATTATTTGCATTGTATTAATTAAAGAATATGTGCGTAATAACTAGAAATTCATTAACATTTCCCAGATCTCTTCTAACATGCGTGTGTAGTATATGATTTGACCCTATTCAGACTCAAATAGATTAAATCAGATCACATCATACGTCTATATCATACCACCAGACTTCGACATTTGTTAAATACTCATTAAATTGAAATTTACTAAATCAGATCAGATCAGATGAAACAAGTTCATCAAAAAATTTCAAATGAAGTAAAAACATCAATTTCATGTTCCAAAAGAAAAGCTTGACTAGACACCAAACATGGTAGAAATATGCCCTAAATTGCATATATATACGAGTGGTATCAAACGGAAACCAAAGTATATATGCCGCAGCAAAAGATGGCAGCCTCTAATTGTCTCAAACTCCCAATCCTCTTTGCTTTCTGCGTAACTATCATCTTCTCCATCACAAACGTGAACGGCGATCTGATAGACACCGTCTGCACTCGATCATCAAGCCTGTGACGAAGCACTAAGAACGCCCCCGACTTTAAACACTTATTGGGCGCCGCAATTACCATGGCAATAGAGCGGGCGAAATCCAGGCATGCTCTGGTTAAGCGCCGTCGGAATGAGGCCGTTGACGGCGGAGTAAAGTCAGCGCTCTCCTCCTGCTTGGATCACTACGCCGACTCCGATCCATTGAGAAGTTTGGGGTGTGCGTGGATGACTTCAGGTCGGGAGACTATGGAGGCGTGAATGTCCAGGCTTCTGCTGCACAGGGGAACATCGAAACTTGCGAAAAAACACTCTCTGCTGGTTTACATAAACTTGATCAGCGGCTGCAAACAGTGACGAATGTCAGTTATAATTTGCGGAATGTTTATTACGATATTGTTTAGGTCATTTGTAATAAATTGAAGCCTCAAGAATGACCAAAAGATGCAAGCTATAGCACAGAAACTTTTGGGAAAGATTACGATCCCGTTTCCGAAATCCTATGGAAACTCTTTGGAAACTCTCCAAACAAATTTCTTTAAGCAAAAGTTTAAGTTTCCTAGCTAGTCTGCTTCTCATTTCCTTATGATTTTCGCGTTTCTGTGAAACATACACAACAAGTTCTACTTTGGAAGCGATTATATGCATTTTGGATGGCATTACAATCAATCAAAAATATCAGAATGTAGTGACTGGCATTTTGGAGGTGTTGACTTGACCTCAGCTAAAGTTTTGGATTTTTAGCAATACTGTGTTCTTGTTGAAATATTATAAAATGACGTGGTTCTTTCTGTTGAGATAGTGTGTAAAAGTATACGAATTTAGAGTTGTCTATGATATATGAGTAAAACTATGATCTAGGGTGGAGAAAAATATCGAAATTTCAATATAGCTCATTGATCATATCATAAAATACCAACTTTATCAAAATGTTTGATATACCGACACTTTCGATGTGGTATGGTATCGTACCGAATTACTTCGATACAGTATCGGTATATATTTTGAAAATAAACGGTACACTAGTATACCATTATCCAAAAAATCAAGCCAATATTTTTTTTAAATGATAAAATGACTAGAATGTGTTGTTATAATTACTTTCCATATATCATAAGTTGAAATATCTAAACATATTTATAATAACTTTTGTTCAAAACTGAATAAAACATTAATATGTTATCATAATAAGTATTTTATGGCAGTAATTAATTGCATTAATGATTTCAGTATATCACTACTAACACTGATTTTCTATATTTCATTTGACATATAATAATTTGTTATATTAAATCATGATAATTACCGATGTCATACTTTTATCGTACCGAAATTTCGGTATATCAATACAAAGTATACTAAAATTTATGTAATATAATGGTATGTATATTTGCATACTGAAAATTTACAGTACGATAAAGGTATGTGATAAAGTACTCTGTATCTGTTTTATCGTACCGAACCATCCCTAAGTAAAACAGTCATACGGGAGTAGTTTCGAAATAGGGTCATAGGTTTTTTATTCACAAAATAGGAGTTCCAATTCCTATTATACCCTTCATGCTATTTTCTTTTTTCTTTCTTCTATCATGCACCAGTACCCCTAATCGTGTTCTTGTCTCTCTCCACTACTCCAGCCATCTACGGACAGCTTGTAGCGGCAATTCTCATATCCAGGTTTCAAT